CTCTCCTCTCCTCTCCTCTCCTCTCCTCTCCTCTCCTCTTTTTTTTCAAGTAGTGCATATAAAAACAATATTTCCTCCTTAGGTTCCTGAGAAACATCTTTTCCACAAAGGTAAACATCTGAATGCATCATCCCCAAGTTTATCTATCTTTCAAAACAGAAAAAGAATTTGCTTCAGCTTTGGCATGTCAGGTGACTCCAGACTGCAGACAACTTATATGCTAACACCACTTCTATATGAATTTTATTTGAATGATGCATCTAATTCATTTAAATTGTGTATTGTTTAAAAGCTCTGCATCTGAGAATCTCTAAGCAATTTTAGTAATACTATTAACTCAACAACCCTGGGAGCAATGGAAGGTGCTGTGAGATATGGATCATGTTACTGTTTATAGTCATATAATCATTTAGGACTAGTAGCTCTGACTATGTGTTATATAGTATTCACTGTAGAGTTTTGCAAAAATCCTTTGTAGAAAAACTCACAAATAGATAACCTTCTGATTGCCATTTTGATTGAAAGTTCCATCTGAGACCTTGACAGCACATCCAGTAATAAGATTTTCAGAAAAAAAATCCCATCACTGGCACTGTGGGAGAGGCAAAGCATGACAGAAATCTCATCATTGTCAGTCAAACAGAGATAGTAGTTACTCTGGTAGGCATAGCTTTAAACTGTGCATTTATACAGGCTTTAAACATGAATATTTAAAATGCACAAGGGAGAAAAAATATAATAAATGTATGGACTCTGCCAATAGCCACATGCTATTTTTTATTTTTTTTTTGAGTCATTGCTCTCCCACCAAAGGAAAAAGACTCATTCTGCAAACGAATTCAGTGTCATTTGAATATAAATCTTATAGCAATACATAGTAGAAGTTTAAATGTGGATCATTGAGTTGTCCAATATTTGCTCCTTTTTTTGACAATGAAATTAATTCAGTGTAAAATTGTTTTGGATAACAATGGCATCTAGGGGGATTAGAATCATACCACTCTACATTTGACATCTAGATTTAGACATATTAGTAACATTCTTTTTAAGCATGTAAAATGGTATTTCATCTTTTTCAACAACTTTTAATTAGCAATTGAGTCATTGTAAGTGACAAGGAAAATGCATTAAATTAGAATTATTAATACTGATAAATTTGAGAATTTAATTCTGAAAATCTTTTACAAGTGCCAAGCGCCTTAGAGTCCCATTGATTCTGGCTTGCCTTCACCTAGCTATGTCTCACACTCATTTGTCAGAACTGCTAAAGTAAATCATCCCACACATTAAAGCTGGGATTATGCATTTTTGGCCTGGACATTGTCCAGACCAGAAATTCAGCTCAGGCATTTAAATATGGAACTGCCGTGAAGTGAACACGTACATTTTTACTAATTATAACTCAGATGACTGAAGTTCTTCAACATGTTCTGTTCTGTAAAGCAGCTGAAAGCAGATGCTATTTGTGCGCTGTGACCTTGAAAACAAATCATGGAAAGCTCATTTAGATATAATGTATTTTTTATCTGGTATCATTTATACCTTTTTGTCTATGATGAATTTGAAATGACTGTGAAATATGCAGCAGAGAAAATGGCTGAAGATTTTCATTTAAATCAGCAGTTGCTGATCACAGAAGAAGCATTTAACACTATGGCAACTCCAAATATCATCAACTGTATCTCAGCATAGCAGTAACAATTCTCAATCTGGAGATCAGACAAAATGTCTGCAAAATAGTATGTTCTAAATACATTTATTTGTACAGCTCGAACTAGAGATAGACCTGCTGATTTTGATAGGGAAGACTAAATCAACTATATTATATGCATGCAGTTGTATATACCTGTATGTTTGTATGGATTCCTTTTTTAATTATTACTATTTTAACTGCCTGCATTGTCATTAAATACTAGAAATGGATAGATGGATTTTACAAAGTTTTCCAAGATCTGTCCAGCTTTAGGAAATTGCTAGGTACTGTGTCTGTTTGTTCTTGGGATATAACCTCTGTCTTAATTGAGCTGTTTGGCTGCTTCTCTCCTTCTCCCTGCCCCTCAATTGTCTTGAGCTGTGATACTGTGAATGTAATGTTAGTAAGTTCAATATGACCACATAGCTCTTCTTTTCAGCCAGTTTCAGATGATGTGTTCAGTAACTGGAAACAAACAGGTAAGCCAGAGCAGTCACTTTACAAAACTATTTTAAATCTCTCTTATTCTATTTGTATTTTTTTTTAACTACAGGTGTATATTTTTATTCTGTAATACAAGCAACTTGCTTTTCAGATGCAGTCACAGGGCTGTATTGTCCCTTCAGGGAATTCAAGCACCACATTTAAAATGTATGAAAAAAAAACCAAAAAATTACCAAAACAACAAAAAAAACCCACCATGATTGGAAGCAGTATAAAGCCTGTTGTAGGAGAACTTAGAGTGCACAGTCTTGGTTACTTATACCAAAGAATTGCTTCTGTGTCTAAAATGATGCTGAAAAATCTGAAGCCAATGATGGTAATGTTTAGTTAATTGAAAGAATATACAGTAGCATCACATGTTCACAAGTTTTTCTGACCAAAAGAAATGAAAGGAGGTTACTGAAAAAAAAAAAAAAAAAAAAAAAAAATCAGAGTTGGGGAGTTTTTAGCAGTGGTAGGCTGCCCTAGTAAATTGAAGCCTAATAAAGAAAAAAATGTGGGACCATTCACCACTATTAGAGTTTTCAGAATGTAGCAGGTGTCGTTAGCAGCAGACAGAGTATTGATGGAGTGAACAGTAGAAGCTTTCTGTAGTCTATCATTCAGATAAGTTGGACTTGTATTATTTCTACATTTGTACACTATTTGTGCAAGATAATATTCTGGCTTTGAAGAAGGTAGAAACCAATTTAACTTGCAGTATAATTCACTGTGATGGGTTTTGTAATCACACTGCAAAATGAGTCTAGCTGCTGTATTATACAATACTGATACTGGCTTATGTGCTGCAGAACTAGTCCTTCTCCAAATAATGTCATAGCATTCTAAATGAGAAAATATAAAAGCACTGACAATGCTTTTTGTGCAACTGCAAGTAAGATATCTTTCAAAATGGCTAATAAAAGCAAGCTGAAGCACACAGTTTCTGGCAGAGCCTTGTAAATGTGCTCATTAGCATTGCAACACAACTATTTTTTCTTTTTTCTTCTCTTATCCCTCTTTCTACCTCCCCCATTACAAAAATTAAACGAATGAAATGAACAAAATGAAAATTTCAGCCTTCCTTCAGAGGGAATATGTAATAATTTACAATATTCCCTTTCTTTTCCTTCCAGTATTTCCATCCAGACTTGCATGAATGAAATCTATGTGATAATAACAGGCAGACAGAATGGATGAGTAGAGGTTGCCTGTTTCCTTATATGAA